AAGGGAGCTACAATGGACCTAAACTGGTCGACGTAGCTAAGGGCCGACCTCGGCACCACACCCAACACAATAATAATAATAATATAATAGCATTTATTACACACCATCAAAAATGAAGTCAATTCTTAGCGCTTCACATTTGGTGACCATTTGCAACATTTTCTTAGAAATGCCTCCTAATTTGTTTGGAACATTATATAAAATGACGAAGGTCTGGCGTTCACGGGCTCTTCCTCTATCAGCTATCTGCCAGTGAAAGCTTCAAAACAAAAAGACAGAAAAACAGGCAGATGGACAAAACATTTAAAAAATGTGTTTTTCTTAAAAGTAGGTACCTACCGTATACCTATAATTTCATATATTTAAAAAACAGCTTTTTTTTCGCCATTACAAATAGACGATGAGTGCGTGCGTGCATGCCTGTTTGCCTCGTATTTGTCATGTGTGCCACAGATAGACCTTAATCTGATAATCTGCGTTTATTAGGAAAGTAACCGCAAATCATAGGGTTCAAATGTGGTAAGTACAAAGTAATACTTTAACAACTAGGTATATATTGTTTTCAATATATTAAACTGTAGTGGCCATAGTGTAATCCATCTGCGTCATCATTTACATAGCGAAAGTAAAGCGATAGCGAAACGAAGTAGTTTCCGAAAAATATAGCGTGACCGCATAATGTCATTTAGAGACGGATTCGGGCAAAGTAAGGGCAGGTTGCTAGTGTTCAAATAAATATGTATGTTAACTGGGAATGGTAGTGGTAAAGTTTGCTTGGGAAACCAATCGAAGTGCGCCTTTGATATTTTCATGTACGATACATTTCCGACATGATTACCACTTTAATGAACTACCAAAAATAACGGTGAAGGAAAACATCGTGAGAAAACCTGCACGTCTGAAAAAATCTAACAAGTTTTCGGAAATAAGTCCGCCAAACCGTACTTGGCCATGTGGACTGTGGCCTCGTATAGAAGGGAGGTCCCCCCCAGCAATGAGACGTTAAAAATAGCTGAATGCAAATATGGTTACGTTATAGGTACCACTCGTTGCAAATAAAGTTTATCTTGTTTTTATAAGTAACTTATTGCATCATTATATTGCCCTATGTTTTTCAAAGCTACAGTAGAGTGCCAAAAAGCTATTTGACGCTTCATTAAATAACTTCGAGATGGACCCCAAATAATACACAAAAACATACCTATGTTATTGGAGATTTTCATTTCAAATAAAATGAAATAAGTTTATGTTCAATGAAGTTACGTTTTCATAGCAGCTAGCTCGATACTGTTCAGATAATATATGAAACTAAACTAATTACTAGGTATATAACTTTAATAACCGAAAAAATCGATTGTTATTACTGATAAAAGTAAATGTAACGTCTAATGTATTTTCGATCTTAAACTAATATAATGAAAGCGATTATTTAAAAAATAAACAAATTTGACATCATCTGCACATCATAATTTGCACATGCCTTTGTATTGTTAGTAAGTAAAAATTATAAGCTTCGTTGGTCTAGAGGCTAGTAGGTATGTACGGTTTTAGATCATTAAGTCTTAGGTTCGAGTCCCAATTCAGGCTAAATAAGCCTTTAGTTATTCAATCAGACCTTTCAATCAGATGGTTTCGATGATGGCCTCCTGGTTGATTTCGGCCACAACGGCCATTTTCACTGAAACTAGCCAACTGCGCAGGAGATATTATAATGCACAAGTTTTCGCGCAGACAATTGTGTCTATGTGTGCATTTTCTTATTCTCTTCACTCTTAAGTCCAACGGGACGACACTTCGACACGATCAGTTAACACTGTCAACTTCTCAACTCCGGGCTACTACTGAGAATTCCTTAACAGAAAAACTCAATAACTAAAATAGGCCCGACTGGAGACTAGAACCCAGGACCTCCGAACTATTAAGAGATACTGTTTGGCAAAATTTGGCTTCCTGGACCTATAAGATCATCCACCCACTATGTTTTAGGCTTCTAAAACTAGGCGAACTACTAAGGCATATTATTTATAACGTGATCATTCAAATGAATCACGTTTTAATCAACTTTTTAATACTCCCTGCCCCTCCTCTTCCCCTATCCAAAATCACGTGTATTTTTTTGGTACAAATACATTATCTTTAAATACAGGTGTAATTTAATTTAATTCTGGAAAATTAAACACCGTGATAAAAATGTTCAGACAGACATTAAGGTTGCAGGTTGTTAATCTGACTGTCATAAAAATTATAAAGGGAACGTGTAATCATGTGAAAAACATAATTATGCTGGTACATGAATCTGTCATTCAACTCGAATAAAGGAAGTACCCTAGGAGAGCTTGTTGCGGACTACTTGAGTAAATTTTTTACGACCCCTCCCTTTCTAGCATCACGTGATTAATGGACGATCCCTAAGGTAAAACCACCGCCTGCCGGCCTGGGCGATGGACCTCCCGCAGTATGGAAAATATCCCACTACCGGGCCAATACGAGACTCCCCGGGCCGGGTTCAATTAGTTCTTTCTTATCCTTCACACCCTACTCGGGTTATTTTTGACTAGTCCCACTCAATCCCCCCATTATAAGAGTGAAAGGAATTAGATATTTTAAGTAATATATATTTGAATGAACTAATCTATACATATAATAAAATTGTAACCACGCCGAATATGTACATTAAAATTTTTTTGGAAAATCTTATTGAAATAGACATTATTATCGATACAGAGGCCAAATTTATAGTTTTTAGAATTTTTGTCTGTCTGTCTGTTACCGCATCACGGAAAAACCACTGGAGGGATTTGATGAAATTTGGTAAGATGGTAGCTGGTTATCCGGGTCAACATATAGGATCAGTTTTTATCGCGGGAAAATATCTCATTTCTGAGAAAAAATACAAAAACTGCAATGTAAGAGTATACTAATATGTAAAACCTAAGAATTTGGTTTTTGGTCATCTGAACTAGGGCGGAGCCGCGGACAATGCTAGTATTAACATAAAGGAGGCGCGAAAGATTGTCATGAGGTTATAAAAACTAGTGTACGCCCAGTTGTTTAAATCGAAATTCGGCCATAAGTATTATTGAAAATTTTAGGAAAACTATATATTTAGTGTATAAAACAAAGTCGGGTTTGTTACAAAACTTATAACTCAAGAACTGCCGAACCGATCTTTATGATCTTTGTTTTGTTGGATTTATCTTCACCCCGAATATCAGATTAACTATTAAAACATGGAAAAAATTGACAAGAAAATAGGAAAAAAACAACTATTCCATATTAAGCGTTAAAATGTACCTAGGGACGAACCTGAGCGAAGTGAGGTTGAGTCGCTACTTAATAAATAAAATTTACCTATCTATATACTTATAAAAAAAACTGGTTACAAAATTTTTACTATCAATAACTATTACATACCCTGGGACAGGTGAAACTAAATAAAAGCTTGTAAAAAAGGGGTTTAAACTGCTATCATACATAAATCACTTTCTAATATAATTTTATTAGATTTTATTTTGTTTTTAATTTTATCGGTTTGGAAATCCGAGTCTCACTTGACCGTTTCCTTAGTATCTAACAATAATCATGATCTCTTATTAACGCTAGTATTATGTATTAGCCGTACAATATTTGCTTTAAAATAATGTAAGCGATAATTATAAATATTTAATTACGTCATTAATGAAAATAATAACTATACCTAGTTATTTACATATATTAATTGTGACGAATACACAATATATTTTAAATAAGTTTCCCGATTCGTCATTGTTAATTGAACAACTCGTGCATTAAGTAGATAAATATCTACACTCTATGTAACTGTTTTTTGTCTCGCTTGTAGATCGTAAGGTCCTAGGTTCGTGTCCTGGGTCTGGAAGCTGGCGGTCCCGTACTTTATGCAGGGACACCGGCAATCCAGCCGGGCGCGAAGCTAAGAAACGTAATTAGGAGGTTGCCTCCTTCGGTGGGCGGTGTGCCATGCGGGTTGCTCCTGGTACTTCTCTGATAGCAGAGTGGACCTTAAGGGCAACCCCATAGTTGTTGTGGTCTATCTCGGCAGGCGGCCCTCGGGCGGTCGTTGCTGAGTGCGTAAGTGATCCTTCGAAACCGCATTAAGACCGGGGAGGTTACGTGAGGGTTGAGTGGGTATTATTGGTCTTTCCAGCCGGTGAATCCCACATGTATGTATGCAGGTGGTTTGTGTAAATACATTTCTCAAAGTAATAAAAGTTCATATTCTTAGATAGACTGTACTTAGTTTCATCTAAATGTATCTAGCCGTTTCAACATTAAGGAGTAACAAGCACACATACAAACAAACATTCACATTTATTATAGTAATGTGGTAAGCTGGATAATATCGATGACAGTTAATAAAAGATCCATATTATGAGTTAACACTTATGGTGTTCAATCAGTCGTTATGCTAAAATTACTATTCAGACGTAAGTTTAAAGTAAATTTTTGGTTTGCTTCTAGAGAAACAAAAACAATCTATTCCACCGTACAGATAAAAAGTAGACTATAGTAACATATTATATGTTATTCTCATGTATGAGCTAAATTATTGTAAAGTTTCATTAAAATCCATTCAGTAGTTATTGCGTGAAAGTGTAACAATCATCCATACTTCGGGTATCGAATCCGGATCTGCAGCCGTACATACTAAACACTGGACCACCTAGGACCTTTTTCTCTTTTGTTTAACAAGCAATTTTCTTTTTTTTTGTTCAGTAATAAAAGTTAAAATTAACATAATTTATTATTATTGTCAAATTTCGATCACTTGACGAACCCTTCGAAGATAACCCATTCACCTATATTAGCATTTAGTCATTTATGGTTTATCGTAATACTTAGCTCGACACGAGATTTTAACCTAGAACTTTACATGTACTGTCTTGTTTAGTAAAAATTTAAGAAATTCAAAAATTGAAAATTTAATTACAAAAAAGGTAAATGAAAAAACTTAATTCATATCAAAAAAATATTATTAATCAATCATCATTATCATCATCACCATCATCATCACTTTCCCTAGCTTTAAGTTTCGCCTCGAGCTCCTTCGCAGGATTGAACACGCCACTGGTCTGCGCATTGCAAACAAAACACCGCGTCGACTTCTTATAGTTCTCTAAAGCACATTTCTCACAGAAATAGTGTTTACATCTGAAAATAATAATAATATGTACATATAATAAAATACTAACAGAGTCAAAGTTTATTTTTTTTTACTGAAATTGTTATTATCGATACAGAGGCCGAAGATATAGTTTTTTGTCTGTCTGTCTGTTACCGCATCACGTGAAAATCACTGGACAGATTTTGATGAAATTTGGTATGATGATAGCTGGTTACCGGGTCAACATATAGGGTTACTTTTTACTGCGGGAAGATATCTCATATCTTAGAAATCTATACTAAACGTCAAAACGTAACGCCGCTAGTTAAGCAATATGATTAAAGAAAATCTAAAGTTAAAAAACTAATACATTTTTGTGTTTCTTCCATGGATAGGTGCTGTCTGTAATAACTATATAAAGAAAGACCTTTGAGACGACTAAAACCTTAGTCTCTACCATCACCTCTTTGTATGGGGTTTATTTTTCAACCGACTTGAAAAGGAGGAGGTACTCAAATCGGTTGTAAGTTTTTTTTCTTCAGAACTTCGTTATTTATTAACCGTTTTAGACAATTTTGGCTTTGTTTGAAAGTGTATACTTCCCGTTTGGTTCCATTTAAATTTGAAAGAAACAATACCACCTAAGGCTAAAAAAATCGGTAATGTAAATTTAACCGACTTATAATTGTCATGTTGACTTGAAGCATTGTGTTTTATTTACATTGATAGTGCAGGGGTTCGATATCGTCGTCTTGATCTGATGGTAATGCCAGAAGGTGGATAGGTGGAACTCTTCAACGGCTAATAGTGGATACTTTGAGTTTGGGCTTATTTTGATTAATTTGACTTGCCCAATACGTTAGAATTGCCTAGAGCTAGCCGCTTTTAGAACCATCATTTTTAGAGTTACTAATAAATGCAAATTTTAGTTTGTCAGTCTTTATATAAAAATTGGCATCAAACTAACTTAAACGGTTTAAGCGAATATTTTATTAAGCCGACTTCGAAAAAATAAAAATAAAAATAAAAAGTAAAAAATAACTTTTTTTTTTTTTTTTTTTGTTTTATAAGGAAATCTGCAAGCAGTATTTACTTTTAGCAGATATGTTCTAAGATTTTTTTTTTTTTTACAGTAAGAGCGTGACTCCACTGAGCCATCTACTCCATATTTATATACTTTTTTTTTTTTTTTTCAATAATCTAGGATATCATTCCTTTTCAGTCTTTTTGTGTAACTTCTTTTTGTTAGGGCAGTTGCAAGGTCATTTGGATGCCTCTCTAGTCGGTCGCGATAATTGGTTTTATATTTCTTTATTTCAGCAGCTACAGTATCCACCATAAGATTCTCGTGGATTTCGTTGTTGGTGATAAGCCACGGTGCTTGGCAGATTGATCGCAGTATGGCATTTTGTGCTCTTTGAATCACGGTGATATTGGATTTGCAGGCGCTTCCCCATAATTGAATTCCGTAAAGCCAAACAGGTTTCAGTACAACCTTGTATATCAAGAGTTTGTTGTCGAGACTTAATTTGCTGTTTCGTTTTATACGAGTTTTCCAGCCATGTTGTGATATTGTCTAAACTCTTTGTGGCTTGCTAACACGGCAGTATCGTCGGCAAAAGTTGCTGTGGTTACTTAATTTCGAACTGCGATTTTGCATCCGCGTCTTTTACCTGACCCATCCTGTCTGTAAGGTATGATTTTATTACGGAGTAGTACTGGTGAGGCAAGTTGGTTTTGAGCTTATAGAAGAGTCCTTTATGCCAGACCTTGTCAAAAGCCTGTTGGATGTCTAAGAACACAGAAGAGCAATACTGCTTTTCTTCAAAACTCTTTCTAATTTTATCGCATACTCTATGCACTTGTTCAACAGTGGAATGCTCTTGCCTAAAGCCGAATTGATGGTCAGGTATGACTTTAGCGTCGTTCAAAATGGGCAGAATTCTATCCATCAGTAACTTCTCAAACACTTTGGGCCAAAGGAAAATACTGGATTCTCAGTACAGCATTAAACAAAGATGTTAAAAATACTATAGCTTTTCTTGGTAATTGTTTTAGTATTTCAGTTATATATATATATATATATATATATATATATATATATATATATATATATATATATATATATAATTGAAAAAATATAATAATTCTAAAGAATGTTGCTACTGTTTAATAATTTGACATTATTAATTAATTTGGATTGATATTTTTAAGTCATTTACAATTTTGTAGTTTTTATTTAAATTAAAATTAAATACAATTAATTAATTATTACAATGAATACTTCTATTTAGTATTGTATTAGTTTTTATACACTTAAAAAAACGAATTTATGGATTACGGATTTTTTTCGCTTCACTTCTTTTCAAATTTCACGATTCTAGCCTTATCTTTTGATTACGTCGACTTAGAAGTTAGAGGATGGTAGACCTGAGTATTTAATATGTATTTCAACTTGACACCTCTACGGTTCCTGAGAAAAATACAGATGGACAGATGGACAACGAAGTGATCCTACAGGGGTTCATTTTTCTTTTTGAGATACGGAACCCTAAAAATATAATGTATTTAATTCAATCATAACCCTAACCTTGTAACAATAGGATCTTTGAAGCTTTCCCTGCATATAAAACATTTGAACGGCAATTCATCATCGCTGTGTATTTCATAGTCCGAGTCAGAATTATTTGCTTGGGTTTCTTCCCTCTCCAGTTGCCAGCCGTGTTTGTAGTCCGAACGGTCGTGGAGGAATTTGCAGGAATCTAGGCAAAAAATATATAATTAAAAAATATATCAAAAAATATTTAAAAAATATATGAATAACTATCGACTCACCCTCGCTTCGCTGGGGTTCCTCCCTAGGTTGATTCCCCATACAAACTTTCTTCCCTTTTTTTCACCCCCTTAGGGGTGAGTTCCGAGATAAAAACTTCTTTGTCCTTCCCCGGGTCTCAAACTATCTTCTTACCAAATTTCATTTAAATCGGTTTAGTAGTTTCGAAGCCTATTCAGTACAAGCAAACGCACAAAAAATCAAAGCTTTCTTCTTTATAATATCAGTATAGATACTCGTAGTATATAATAATGTCCACGCGTCTCGTCGTGTCGTCATTATGACACAACATCCTTCTTTTCTTTTATTCATCTTTTTCATTCCATTCCATTCTTAAAATTTCTAACATACGTTAAACGTATTACGTTTGCTTTTATTCTTAAAATATCAATTCACGCATACTTATCTTGCAAATCCCACATACATATACATACATAGACCCGGGATTTGAACTCGTTTCACTCGGTTTCAAATATTGTATAATCTATACATATAATAAAACTGTAGAGGTCGATTGTTTGTACATAGAAAAAAATGCTAAAAACTGAGTCAGGGGGATGTAAGAAAACAAATAGAACAAATCCACATTTTCATGCCTAATCTCCGAAACTGTTGGACCAATTTGAATGAAATTTGGCACGGTGGTACCTTATATCCCCGGTCAACATTTTAGATACTTTTTATCCCGGAAAATTAAAGAGTTTCCGGGGGATATTTAAGAAACTATAGTCACTTATATAGATTTGTTTTTGTTTTTGTTAGGCGAACTAACCATAACAATGCATAATGTACAGCACCCGGGCGAGCGAATTCCACTCAGCGTTTTTCGGAAAAAATATAAAAATTGCGCTTTTTCAGCAAAGACACCTATACACATAAACTTAAAAAGCAAAACCTTATCTACATACAAAATTTGATCCGAATCGTTAAAGCCGTTTGCTTATTTAATATTATAAGATAAACATATTTTTTTGAAGTGAAAACTTCTATATGCAGGTATGGATGGGCAGTAAACTCATGTAAGTCGTCATCGACACGGTCACGTGACGTGTTAACGCTAACACTCAGAGTGCCGATAGATGTCAAAACCAGATAAATGTAAACATTTTTAATTTACCAATTTGAATTTAAGATCAAACAATTTGAATATCCAACAATAACAACTGTTTGTTTATAGTTTTAAGTTTTCACTTCTGTCGGCAGTCCTCATGGCTGCTTTTTTTTAATGAAAGATACTAAACTAAAAAAACTTACCTCCAAAACCACAAAAGCCAGTCTCTTTGTAATCTTTACATATATCTGGCTGATAGTCCCATCTGTGGAAAAATCACAATACTGTTATAAAATGTAAAAATTTGTACGTATGTACGTTTGTTACACATCCACGCTGAAACGACTGGACGGATTTAGATGAAATTTAGTACAAAGATAGACTATGACCTGGAATAATACTAGAGTTATATATGTATATTATATTATTTTAATATCAAGTCGCAGTCACAATATAATGGAGAAATTTCTAATTTTTTTATGTATTATAATTTCTTTTGTAAAATATAACAAAAATATGAAAGAATTATTAAAATGTCTCAACAAATGAAAGAGTTATGAAACATTAAAGTTGCGCTTGTAAGGATAATTCCGTGACGTCACACGACCTAAACAACCAGGAAACTAAATTAATTTCTCAGCCAATTGACACAGCAATTGATAGGTTTACATTTTTTTTTCATTGATTTTATTAGTTTTGATCTATATTATAATTCTATTGCGTTAAATATGATATTAACAACATCATGAAACTTCTCCATTAGGGATGTACTTCAGCTAAGCGAAGGCAAGTCACCAGTCAAATATATTTATATATACATTTTTAATTTGACACCAAAAACAAAAAACCAATGGTTTAAAAAAAATGATTTTTATTATTAATCTGAATATTAAAAAAAAATAAACAGTCCTACTTTAATATATAGGTACTAATTTAAAAAAATAATAATTTTCAAAAATTTATTTATATATCTAAAAATGTAAAAAAACCATCCAAAAATTTAATTCCTGAAACCTTCTATTGAATTTAGTTATTTAATAAGATAAGATGTCTTCATTCTTACCGGACCGTTGCTCTCAAATTGGCTGGAGCTCTAATAGGGCCTTTCCTTACAAGTCCTGAACTAGCATTTCCTGCGGCCGTGTCTCTCTTTTTGTAATACTGTGCATAATTGTTTATACCTCTGTATACCTAAAAAGGGAATTAAAAATATACTTAAAAAATCGCAAGAAAAAAACTTTTTTTGTGATGTAACTACAAATTTACGATTTTCGAATTTTCCCCTATACTAGCACAAAAAAACTACAAAACTACAAAGCTTTTTGCCAAATTTCATGATTCTAGTTCAACGTCAAGTGCCCTATGGGTTTATAAGTACCTTATGAGTGTCAAAATATGCGCCATAAACTACTGTCTTTTGAAAGCGTTCCACAGATCCAAGGTATACCAGACCTAAGTATTTCATATTAATTTCAACTTGATACCTCTACACATTCCTGAGAAAAAGAGTCTTGACAAACAGACAGACTGATAACAAAGTGATCCTATAAGGGTTCCTTGTTTTCTTGTTAGGAACCCTAAATGTAACCATTTTTAATGTTAAACTTTGAGCAAATTTAATATAATTTTATATAGTACAAAAATAAAATATGTATCATAATTACTATGGCACTAATTTCAATATTACCTTATCATCAGCTTGTCCTTGTAACTCTTCATTAATTTTCTGAGCTTTTTCAAATATTGCCTGAGCGTCTCTATCCTTTTCAGTGTCCAGTTCATATGTGGCCGTCGCATTTTCTCTTTGTTGTTGCACTGACAGAGTTGTGTTTGGTTGTTTCTGGAAAATTGTAAACAATAATTTAGATATTTAATTTACACATTATTTTTTCTTTTTATATTCACATTATATTGAATAATATGGAGTTAGTTATTAAAGTATTAAAACTATCTCAACCTTTAAATTACAACAATAATTTTTGTATACCATTAATTAATAAAACCCTGTATATTTTTTGTTTTATATTAACTTTAGCGATTCACCCTCATTTCACTCGGGTTCATCCCTAAATGCATTTTAACAGTTAGTATGGATATGGAATAGACTATATATTTTAATATGATATATAGCCTATAGCAGTCCTCAAGAAACGGACTGTCTAATGCTAAAATAATTTTTCAAATGGGATTAATAGTTCCTGATATTAGCGCATTCAAATAAGCAAACAAACTCTGCCTCTTTATAATATCAGTATAGTTTTAAAATATTTACAATAATAAAAGTCAAGGGTAAAACTAAAAAGTACTAACAACTAAAAGTACAATATTGTTAGCAGAATCAGAGAAAAATTAAATAATTTAATTCAGGTTAAAAAGGAAGGTAAACAATGAGATGTAATATTGAGGACAGAGACTGGAACAGTTTTCAATAAACCCACATTATACACTAAGTATTTTTTAATAGTAAAGTAAAACTAAATAAGCACTTCCAAAAAATCTATTTATATTTAATAGCAAATGTTAAAAACAGTGAATTAAATGCCTGGATAAAGCCCTTCTTAAAGTCTTACTGCTGGGTCTCCCTTTAATACGAGTGGCCAAATGCAGGTTGGCAGACTTCTCATGTCTTTCAAAAACTTAGCTATATTCCCTCAAACATGCAGGTTTCCTCATGATATTTTCCTTCACTTTAAGTACCTAAATAGCCCTAATTTAAGTAAATTATTCATAATGTCACTTACAGTTTCATTATCGCTACTGTCAGCATCATCTACTATTTCAACTTTCCGTCTCTCACCAGTGGATTGTACGTTTGGATTTGCTTTCTGTGCTCTCTTAGTTGGTAACACTACTGTAGGCTCATCTGAGTCTGAACTATTTTTTTCTAAAACAAATAAGTGTTTATTTTTACATATTAATTAAAACTGTGAGAAACGTAAATAAATGTCAGTTACCCTTGCTTTTAAATATAAGCTTAAAACTCGAAACATGACCTTCAATTTTCTAAATTATGTTATATTGTTGTAACATTAATTTTTGTGAAGTACAAAAACTTTGAATATAAGTGCTATTTATAACATGACATTATCGATTACAAAATAATTTCATGTATATTATTTCCTTTTTTGCTTGTTTATAAAATAGGAACATTTTATAAAGTATTTAGAAATAATAACCTTCTGAACTAGATGCTTTACGTTTTCTACCACCTCTGTTCTTTAAATTTCGTTTTTTAAACGTTGTTGGCACTTCCACTTCTATATCAGACATGTTTGCACTTATGTATTGTAAAATAAATAAATGCTTATAATTTTAACGAAGTAAATAGCTTTAATTTCTGGTACAAACTAAAGTTATTATTACTGTTTACAATTTAATACTCAAAAGTCAAAAAGTCAAAACATTTGAGGTTATGTTCGGATACTTGTATAAATCATAAGATTTGTAAAATATCGATTGTATATAGTATCGATGTTTCATAGTCGTTAAATCGATTTTTTAACTAAATAAAGGGACATTTTAAAATAATGTATACAAAAAGAATGAATATTATGATTAATAAACTTATTTTTTTTGTTTATGTTTTGAATTTATATTTAAGAGATAAAATCAAAATAAACATACTACTAATTAAAACAGCAAACGAAATGTTATGATGTACAGGCCTGTAAACAACGCTTAAAACTATTACCTATTGCGAGTCTTGTTTTGAGAATAAAGTACTACAAATAAAACATTCAAAATCTTTTCTAACAGAATGTTATCATCTATTAAAAAGAGACTGATTTCTGACATCTTATTGAGATGTTGAAAATGATGTTCTGATGTTTCTGTAATACAATACGTTACACATAGTACTACAATGCTAAAATGTAAGAGATAGTTCACGGGACCAGGACTTGGAATGAACACGATGTTTTAAAACAGACGAAATGCATGCTGCAGACTCTGTTATTTAAAAATGAATTTATAATCAAATACCAATAATATCAGTCAGTCCAGAACAGTATTTAGTATAGTGTTATTAGTATAACTCCTATTAAATTTCTTGAACCCATTGTGAGTAATAATTAGTTATAGTGGCTATCATGTCCACGGAAGATAAATCAATTTCTTCTTCGTGATCATATTATGTTTTCTTTTTCTGCACCGCGGCAGTCTGTTAGACACAACAATAACCCACTGCTTTGTCTGAATTACTTGTATCTGTTTAGGCTTTTTAGCTTGGTGAAACACTTCTCAGGTAGGTGTCTCATTCCATCCTTTTGAATCTATCTTGTAGGGTTGGAACACTATGTCTCTTTAATCTTCTATGTGTATGAATTTTTTATATTATTATGAGTCCTTGATCTCCGCTGAGTCTGAGGGCAAGCAAATTTTTGTGATTTGAGAGTCTTTTCTGGTAGTTGATGCTATATTTCGCTATCTCCTGTTTGACAGTTGTTATATTTAAGTCAAGATATATGTTCTTATTACTGATATATTGAGGGATGTTGAATATGGTTACCTCAGTGTTTTGGTTTAAAATCGTTCCAGTATCTCTATGTTACTGTTGCTGGCCGTATCCCAAAGCTGTATTCCATAGGTCCATATTGGTTTCACGATGGCTTTATATACTGTCAACTTGCTGTGTGTCCTCATTTGTGTTCTCCCGGAATCCAAATTGGTGATTTGGGGTGATGTCACTTAGGTGTACGTGCATTCTTATTAGTAGCATTTTTGCGAGCCGGTATAAGTCGGTATGACGCTATTTCATTAGGGGGTTTATCGGGTTTAGGCCTGGGCTATCTTCCATTGTCCTGGGAAGTGGCTAATTCTTATGCAGGCATTAAATATGTTATGATTATAATGAGCGGGTGGAAAACAATATGATAAATCCAAATTGACTCGTTTTACCTAGGTATTATAAATCTAAGCTTAGCTGAACTTTACGTGCGGTTGAAGTAAAATTTTGCCGTTGTGACAGATACTGCAATTAAAATTAAATGGTGTTAAAATAAAATAATATTTTAATAAAATTATTAGTAACTAGCGATGTAAGTCGCTCTCACTACTCTCGGGTGCGTTTTTAGGTACTTTTTGAATGTAAATTCTTATTACGAATATTCCTTAGGAAATTTATACTATTGCAGATTTTTCTGTAGGCATTTTTAATACCTACAATTTTCTAGTATACTGTTTTGATATATCAATTAACGTTTAGCCAGCGTGAAGCATTTAAATTTCTAAGGATGACTCAACAGAATTAGTTACTATGATGTTTTCCAGAGAGAATAAAATATTTTCCTGTAGTAACAGGTATCCTAAATATTGACCCGAGTAATAAGTTACCACAAGTTAAGTAATAAGTTATCACTACAAAATTTTTAGTTAAAATCGGTTCATTACTTTTTGCGCATACCCAAACAATCAAACAGACATACAGACAAACAGACATAATTTTAATAACTATTGTTTTGTTTATATATTATTAACCATATTTTGTACGGAATAAGTTACAGTCATTATTTTAAAAAAATATTTCATGTACACTGTACAGATTTCGCTACGTTACTACTTTTAGAATAATACATTATTTTTATTATTTATATTATTGTTATTTTATAAGTAACTAACAGAACTGGCGGGTTCGCTCGCGCTAAAGTTACAAAAAAACTCTAAAAGTGTTTTATAAAAACTTTCATCCCCTATTTTACCCTTTTAAGAGTTGAATTTGAAAAAACGCTGAAATACGTAACTCATTTTTTTCCCGTACTCAATTCATATGAAATTTCATACAAATACATCCAAGGAATAAAAAGTTTCATACAAACTTTATCACCTATTTCACTCCCTTGGGGGTTTAATTTTGAGAAACCCTTCCACAATGGATGCCTTCGTTATATGAGGAGTACGTGTGCGGAATTTCAATTTAGTTTTAGTTTACGTATATAAGGGTTTGTCCTGTGCACCACGTCTAAAGAAGTTTTACTTTAATGAAATCTATTTTAAAAAATGTCTATGTTGGGCGTATAATATGAGCCAATTATTTAAAAAAAATGCCAAATCCTAGTAGTATTGTCTTACAATTTCTGATTATAATATTACATGAATACGAAATGAATGCGAAATAAATAATAATTATTATGTAGTAGTTGGAAGTTATATCTTTCTCATCGTTTATGTTAATAAATTTAAGTAAATCACAGAATTCTGAAAATAATTGTTAAAATTATTTATTTGATTTATATCGACTCATAGTTTATTTAAATTATCGATATATTATGTGTCTATGAAAATATAATCTTGTGTGAATCCGATTACAGTAAGGATCATTATATATTATCTGTTGCTTTTTCTATAAGCAAAGGAGAAATCCATTTTCGGGCCTGTAAAATGTAAAAGTAAAACAAAGATTTCCTGCTTTGAAGCCATTATCAAGAAAATTGATTTGATTGAAGAATTTCCCTTACATATAAAATGATAATATTATAAAATTTTAAAACAATATTAAAGGTAGAATAGTTTTATGAGACTATTTTTTTTATCTATACAAATCTATACAGATAAATAAAATTGAAGTGTCTATTTGTAATGTCAAAATAAAAGTTTTTACTGTACAAATAAATATAATTTTTTTAAATTTTTTGTCTGTCTGTTTGTTCCAGGTAATCTCCGAAACGGCTGGACTGATTTTGACGGGACTTTCACTGGCAGATAGCTGATGTTCTATGGAGTAACTTAGGTTACATTTATTCGAGAAAAGGAATTAGGGTTCCGCTCAAAAAATTAAAGCATACCTAGGGATGCACCCGAGCGAAGCGAGGGTAAGTCGCTAGTATATTACAAAGTTGATGAATTAGTTTTTGTTTGTTTAAATTCACTGATCTTCAGAATTATCAGTGCTATTAGATTTTTTTTGTATTTTAGTGGCTTGATTAACATATTTATGAATCTAATGAAACAGTAACTCAGCGAAATACTCGTGTGTACCTACATAATTTTTTTTAAATAACGACTGTAACGTATTGTGTACGGAATGTAGATCCCAAAACAATACTTACTCAATTATTAAAATAAGTGTCTGTATGTTTGCGATACACTACATCCGCAAAGACAATTTATATGTAGGTATTTAAAACGCACCTAGCGACGCACGGCAATTCACTAGTTACCTATTACAGTAATAAAATAAGTAAATGTCAATATGTCAATCTATAATTAATATTCAGAATCGTTTTTTGTAAAATAATTCCACTTATGATAACCTTATTTTGTTATTTCATATTCTTTGTTGAATTGTACTCATTACATTTAAAAAAATACCTACCTATCATTGCTGCGGGTCTTGCTACATGAATGTATGTCTCGATTGCTTAATATTATGTTTCTCCGTCATCTTCTTCTCACTTTTTTAGTTGTGTTTACGCAGTCAGTTTTTTATTTATAGCTTTTTAGTTCTAATCAGTAAGACATTTGAAATTTTATTTAATATAAATAATCTCCATATATCCTATGACACTTGCGTTATCTAGACAAATATCTACAATCTAACGACGTACATTAAAATGGTTTAGCCGATTAGTAAGTACGAGGAAACATAGAATGGAACATACATACATATTACAAACATAGATACATTCATACATGCAAGTCAAACATCTAACTCTTCTCTGGGCTTCGCCACAGTCGGGCAAAAAGGGTAATAACATTGTGCATGTAAAGTTATTCTATACATGAGTTTCACCTATATTTAAAGGCAGGCGTTGAATACGTAATTCACACAATTTACTACCAAATCTAGAGCGAACTTTGCTTAATACGTATATATAAAATAATTTATATGTTTGTGTCTTTATAAAGAATTAATTTATATTATAAAATTTATTACTACTTAATCATTGACTGCGACTCCGCTCGCAGTCAACTGTGCATCAGAAATAAAATACTCTCCTGAAATCTAAATAACTTCAATTTTAAATATTTTTATTCAGCATTAAATTATTACAATTTATTACTGTATATCAGAGTCTACCACCAGTTCGGAAAGAAAAAGCAACTCGGCGGGACTAAATTTAGTTTTTTATCTTTTTTCTTCTATATCTATCTATATTCTATACAAACATTATAATAAAATTCGAAATGAGTCGAATCTGTACATCAAATATGTTTTGGAAATCGAAATCGATACAGAGGCCGAAGCTATAGTTTTTAGATTTTTTGTCTGTCTGTCTGTGACCGCATTACGGAAAAACCACTGGAGGGATTTTGATGAAATTTGGTATAATGAT